GCTCTCAGGCCTTCCTTGCAGAGCTTACTTGCAGAGCCCGTGAAAGTGAAACTGCTCCCACTGTAAGTATATCAACTTCGGGAGTGCTTATGTAAATTGGACTTAAGAAATTCCCAATGATCAGACAGGATGCATGTAATATCATTGAGGAAGATGTCCAAAGTCATCAAAATAAGTTTTTCTAGTCCCTTTGGAATTTTTAGGCAATGACATAATCAGAGAATCACAGAATCACAGAATCGTAGGACTTGGAAGGGACCTCCAGAGATCATCGTGTCCAAGCCCTCTGCCAAAGCAGGTTCCCTACACCACGTTGCACAAGTAGGTATACGGGTAGGTCTTGAATATCTTCAGAGAAGGAGACTCCACAACCCCCCTGGGCAGCCTGTTCCAGTGCTCTGTCACCCTCACTGTAAAGAACTTGCACACATTTGTGCGGAACTTCCTATGCTGCAGTTTCTGTCCGTTTCCCCTTGTCCTGTCTCCACACACTGCTGAAAAGAATCTGGCCTGACCACTCTGCCCCCGACATCTTAGATATTTATAGACTTGGATCAGGTCCTCTCTCAGTCTTCTTTTCTCAAGGCTAAACAGACCCAGTTCACTTTAGCCTTTCTTCATAGGGGAGATGCTTCAAGACCTTCACTATCTTAGTGGCCCTCCGCTGGACTCTTTCCAAGAGATCCCAGTATTTTTTGTACTGGGGAGTCCAGAACTGGACACAATACTCCAGATGAGGCCTTACCAGGGCAGAGAAGAGGGGGAGGATCACCTCCCTCGACCTGCTGGCCATGCTCTTTTTAATGCACCCCAGAATGCTATTGGCCTTTTTGGCCACAATGGCACACTGCTGGCTCATGGCCAACCTGTCATCCACCAGGACACCCTGATCCCTCTCCGCAGAGCTCCTCTCCAGCAGATCATCCCCCAACCTGTACCGGTGCATGCAATTATTCCTCCCTAGATGCAAGACTCTACACTTGCTTTTGTTAAACCTCATCTGGTTTCTTACTACCCAGCTCTCCAGCCTGTCCAGGTTTCGCTGAATGACAGCATGGCCTTCAGGAATGTCAGCCAATCCTCCCAACTTCAGCGAACTTGCTGAGGGTGGCCACTATCCCCTCATCAAGGTCATTGATGAAGATGTTGAACAAGACTGGGCCCAGCACCGACCCCTGAGGAACACCACTGGTTACAGGTCTCCAACCAGACTCTGCACCACCAACGACAACCCTCTGTGCTCTGCCAGTCAGTCAGTTCTCAACCCACCTCATTGTCCACTCATCTATCCCACACTTCCTCAGCTTTGTTATAAGGATGTCATGGGAGATAGTATCAAATGCCTCACTGAAATCAAGGTAGACTGCATCCACTGCTCTCCTCCCACCATTGCTCATTCACCCAGACAGTGACAACATCGTAGAAGGCTACCATGTTGGTCAAGCATGACCTGCCCCTGGTGAACCCATGCTGACTACTCCTGATAACCTCCTTTTCTTCCACTTGTCACCTTTCCAGGGACAGAGGTGAGGCTGACTGTCCTGTAATTACCTGGATCTTCCTTCTTGCCCTTTTTGAAGACCAGAGTGACATTGGCTATCCTCCAGTCTCCCCTATTCTCCAAGACCTCTCAAACATGATAGAGAGCAGTTCAGCAATCACCTCTGCCAGCTCCCTCAGCTCCCATAGATGCATCCCATTGGGTCCCATGGATTTATGAACATTGGTGTTGCCTAGGTACTCTTGGATTGCCTCTTCCCTGGGACGGCTCCAAGTATGTCCTGGAAGACATCAAAGTTGGCTCTCCTAAAGTCCAGGGTAGCAATCCTACTTTTTGCTTTGCTTTTTCCACTCATGATCTTGAACTCCACCATCTCGTGGTCACTACAATCCAAGCTGCCCCCAACTTTTACTTCCTTGACAAGCCTTTACTTATTAGTGAGAATAAGGCCCAGCAACACCCCTCGCCTTGTCGGTTCCTCCACCACCTGCATCAGAAAGTTGTCTTCAACACACTGCAGGAACTGTCTGGACCGTGTGTACCTGACCATGTTGCTTATCCAGCAAATATCTGGATAACTGAACTCCCCCATGAGCACCAGCACCTGGGATCATGATGTTACTTCCAGTTGCTTATGGAAGGCCTCATCAACCTCCTCCTCCTGATCAGGGGGCCTGTAGTACACACCCACAACGGTGTCAGCCATACCAGCCTGCCCCTTGATTCTCACCCCACAAGCTCTCCACTGCTACACCACTCTCCCCCAAGTGGAGTTCAATACATTCTAGCTGCTCTCTCACATAAAGAGCAACTCCACCACCCCACCTCGCCAGCCAATCTTTTCTAAAAAGCACATAGCCCTCCCATAACGTCTCCATGATTGCAATGAGATCGTGGCCGTGCGACTGCACACAGATCTCCATCTCTTCCTGTTTATTTCCCATACTGCGTGCATTAGTGTATAGACACTTTAGGGAAGCAGTATCCCCCTGCCCCTCTCCACTCCTTTGAACTCCAACCTCATTACCCACCAAGCTCTGATTTGAGCCTGGAACTACCCACTCAACCCCAGTGGCCCTCATTTTGCCCTCTTCTTCCTTCTTTGCTAGTTTAAACACTTCTCAATGAGTCCTGCCAGTTCCTATGCTAGGATCCTTTTACCCCTTGCAGACAGGTGAGTTCCATCTGCAGCTGTCATACCAGGTGCTGAGTAAATTGTGCCATGGTCAAAAAAAAATAAAATTCTTGTCTCTGCACCAACCTCTGAGCCATTTATTTATGAGGAGGGTTTTTTTAATCCTCTCAGTATCCTTCCCGGCCTCTGAAGGGATAGAAGAGAAAACCACCTGTACACCCGCTCCATCAAGTACCCTCCCCAGGCCCTTGAAGTCATTTTTGATAGCCCTCAGGCATTTCTCTGCAGCCTCATCACTGACAACCTGAACTACCAAAAAGGGATAGTAATCAGATGGGTGAATAAGACCAGGAAGCTTTCTAGAGATATCCCTGATCTGTGCCCTAGAGAGACAGCACACTTCCCTATGGGTATGGTCAGGCTGACATATGGGGCCCTTGGTTCCTTTTAGAAGGGAGTCACCTATGACTATCAGTCTTCAAGCTGGAACTAACTGCCTCTCCTTAGAAAAGCTTGAAGTCTGCCCCTTCACCTCATTCTCTGGCACCTCACCCTCTAGTTTCAGGGCTTCAAACCTATTATGTAGAGGCACCTGAGGATCCAAGATAGGTCGGGATGGGTGTCGCCTGCATCGCTGAGGTGGATCTGCTGCCATTCCTCCTCTCTTCTCAAGTTGGCTCTCTTGGTTTGACCATGGCAAGGGAGAGGGTCCATTACAATTTGTGGGTTGCAATCTCTGCTCCTTTCTTGCAAAGATTCACACCACCAGTCTATATCCCTCTCACACTCTCTAATGGTTCTTAATCTCTCTACCTCCTCCCTAAGCTCCACCACCAGGCTGACAAGAGACTCTTTACGATTAAAATAAAGACAAGCATCACATCCACATTCACTGACTCATAAGCCAGGTTTCAATCTCAAAAACATATAATAGGAGAAAATATGTACTCAACAACTCTGTGGATTATGCCAAATTACAGGGATCAGTTGAAAAGTTAAAGGTTAGGGCTACTACTCATGAGGTTCTTTGTAAGACAGGGAAACAAGTTTACAGGAAACTGCCGATGTTCCACCAGGGTAAGAGCCACATCTCGTACCCAGAGAGGAATAACATACTGCATTTTGATCAGATGTAAAGTGGATCACTAGAAAATTGTCTGAAGGTACTAGTGGACAACACATTCACAATAAACAAGCAATGTTTCCTTACAGTAAAGAACACCAACAGCATCCTGGGCTTTATTTGCAAGAATATAGCCAACAGGACAAGAAAAAGACTCTTTCCCTCAGTTTAGCTTTGAGTCTTTATCTTGTGTTCAGTACTGGTTTTCCCAGTACACTAAATACATGAATACATTGGAGTGATTAAACAGAAGCTGTCTGAATGGTCTAGGGCTATGTGAGAAGAAACTAAGATTAAAAGGTTGGAAAAATGGCTGGAGAAAAGAAAGATAATGGGAGGTCTCATTGCTATTACAGCTAAGTAATAGGAGACAGTAAAGAAGACAAAACAGAACTCCTCTCAAAGATTCAGAGTGTTAAGACACAGGCTGGAACATTCAAAAAATATGTCAGCAGAAAAGAAAAACCTTCTTTGCTATGCAGACAATCAAATCTGGAAAAGGACTCCCCAGAGAAGCTGTGGAAATTCCATAATCAGAGATATTAAATCTCCAGTTTGGACAAGTCTCTGATTACCCTGACCTAATTGGATTGGGTTTGAGGAAGAGGTGCCCCTTCCAACTTGAACTATTCTGCAGTTCTGTGATTTCATCTGCTGCTTTTCAAATTATATCCAACTTACATCTACCCTCAGAAAAACATAACACATATTGAAACATGTCTCTGTGAATCTGGATAGCAATTGCAAAAACTGTGCATAATAATGCTGTATTACAATTAAATAAATGAGTTATTCAGCTCTAACCCTGAAAATAAAGTTTCCATGTGTTTTGTAGCAGATATTCTGTGGTTTCAATTTGGAATTCAGAATGTATTCCTTAGTTGTTTTATAGAATAGAATGAGTACACATTTGTTGCCTTTGCTTCGGCAACCTCTGATTAATGTCCCGTCGTGAAGTGCTCAGACAGCCCCGGCCAAATCACACGCTTTTATGACACCAATGTGGTGAGCGGCAAATGGCACTTATTGCAAGCAACACACTCTTCTTATAGTTGTCCCTTATATCACAGTGCTACCAATCACCCCTGCTACGGTTATCTGTGTCCAATAGACATGTGGCATGTCTTGTCTTGCCATGTCTCATCATGGTTTTCTTATGAGTCAAGGAGCCCCCGCAGAGGCTGATGACTGTTACAGCCCCCCTTTCAGTATTCGCTAACCACACAAGGGGCCCACACAGATTACGCCTGGTTACACCTGGTGACCTTGACAGCCCCCGCTTTACGTATTTTGTTGACTACATCTCTAACTTGCGTATTTTGTTAACTACATCTCCCCCTCCCTAAGCTCAAGCAAATCTACTACAACTCGAGAGGACCCTAACCGCGTACACCCCGAAATCCCCACATTGCGCCTATACATGCCATTGTCCTCTCGGTTAAGCCTTTTGCCCCGTTACATCGCGATTCGCCAAATAATCCTACCCTAGTAACCCTATAACCTATTAATCCTAATAATCCTAATATCTTAAACGTGAGTTCTATGTAAAGCTATATATTGCATTCTCTCGATGCTGATTCGTTCATCTTGGCATTTGCCATATGAGTCATTTGTCTCAGCATACACTATACTTATATATGTAATACACCTATATATCTATATATATAATATGAAAGCATATTAATATTAGATCTAATACAACTATAACTGAATACAAAATAGAGTTAAACAGAGTTAAACATGCCTGTAACAACGCGTATGCGAATCCAGTTACAATCTTTTGAGAAGCCTATGGTATCCCAGGCATTGATTGTTTAAACGTTATTGCAGAGTTCTACCCTAGCAGTCCAGCAGCCTACTGGCCTTAAAATGAATCTTACAAGAGGCGATGTAGTGCATCCTTAGATAATACTGAATCAAGTCGGGACACTCGTCTCAGCAAGCGCCACGTCTTTACATATAATATAACTGTAAGAACTAAGCATAATAATACTAATCCTAACACAACTACTACCGGGTGCAGTATAGAGTTAAATATCCCCGTTGCTGTGGGGGACCATCCAAAAAGAACTTCCCACCAGTGGTATTCACCGTCCTTCTTTACTCTCTCTAGGACACGATGTATTTCTTCCATATCATGGTGAACAGTGATCAAAGTTTTCTGTCCATTATCTCTGATGCGATTTAGCAGTTTGTACAGGTCCTCATGTTGTAGAAGCTTCCTTACCAAAGCGAGATTCATTCCGATCAGTGCGGGCTCTAAGTATTGGATCAACGTGTAGTTAGACTGTAGTAGCTGGTGCGATGTAACAGGAGCTGTATAGTTAAAATCACATCCTAAAACACTAATAAAGTTACAAACACAGAGATTTGAATGATTGCTGGTATCTACAACCATATCCCCTATTCGAATGGAATCACAATGGGTTCTCATGCAAGCACATCCCTTTCCAATATATTCGAGCATTGTTTTGGACTTTATACCAGGTTGGACCTCAAAGTGGCAGATATTTTGTACGGTGTCAAGACAGATATCTTGAGTCTCAAGGGTATTACTTTCACAAATAAATCCTTGCTGTTCCCGTACAGCACACGAGCTAACATCCGCAGTCTGCCATTTCCCTTCCTTTCGAAGTGCCCATACCCGATGCTCTGTCGGATACAATATGATCCCATCATGATTCAAGCCTAGTGCTATGATCGGATGTGCCGTATATACAGAAGCATTACTTATTGTCAAGACAAAAGCTACGACATAATTAGTAACAGGGTCGTAAGTGAAGTTAACTAAATGCCACCAAGACTGAAACTTTCTTTCAAACTTATTTGCATTATCCCAAACCATTTTTCTAATTTCAGTGGGCATAGTGCCATCCTCACCTTCTCTCACGATTGTCGCTGCCATGGATTGCATCCATATTTGGCTGTTATATTAAGTGCACTTAAACAGTCTGATATAGTATATTCTGCTTCAAATTTTTAGTCTTCACATTTTGTTATATCCTACTTGACAAAAATGCTGGCTGCCTGCTAATTCACTTAAATGGGTAAGGTGCTTAAATCACGTACAGAAAGCTTACTTTTAACCATGTTGATAGTGTTGTACTGTGAGTTTTGAGTTCTGGGTAAGAAACAATGCAAATTAGGATTTTCATATAAGTAAAAAACCAAACAAATAAAAAATACCACAGATTTTCTCCTCATTGAATTAGACAAATAATTTTTTTAAAAAATTAAAAATTTAAAAAGAACATAAATGAATATCTAATTCAGATTTTTTCTTTCACAAGCATATTTAAATGCTAATACTATTAATTTAACTTTTCTGACAACTTTTTTTTTCTTGTTACATATAAAAAACTGAATGTTCCAAAAGGCATTTTGCAATTTCCCCATTTTTCATATATAATCCTTATTGCATTATGTAAGATGCAGATATAAATATATTATATATATTGAATGAGAAATTAAAAAAAAAAAACAAACCAGCAACTGTTGGTGGCTTGAAGACCAAAGAATAAAAAAGATTAAATTAGGTGTTTTGGTAAAAACATCTGAAAGAAAAAATAGAGTAGGAAGCACTTATGGAAAGGTACTCCTAAGGATGAAATAAGTTTAGCAGCTATTTCTAGAAAAATGTTTCACTCTACCATTGTTAAAAGGGCTGCTCTGAAAGTAACGCCTCCTATTTTATTATGATGGCCCATGACATTGGAGGCAGATGGTGATATGGAAATAGAGGTTGCACTTTCTCACCAGTATTCTATTACATGTTGTTGCTGTGTGACAGATGGCCACAGAGAGGCAGTCTGGCAGAATGGCACCTGACATGGAACTGTGTATGGAGCAAAGGTGTCATTTAATTCCTCTATACAGAAAAAAAAAAAAAAAAAATAGCACTCATTGACATTTATCCATTCTTGCTTAATGTTCATGGAGACCAAATAGTGGATGTGAATACCGTGAGGCAGTGGGTGGGGTATTTCAGTTGTCGCAACAGAAATGTGAGATGAACCATGTTCTGGTCAGCTACATGCAAATGTCACACCATGAAATGAAGAGCATCTCGATTAGCTCATCCATAGGAATCAGTGGATTACAAGTAGGGAACTCTGTGCGTAATTGAATACTGGCTTCATTGAGTTGGAAATGATGGTCACAACATTGGAATATTGAAAAGTTTGCACCAGGTGAGTTCCACAGATGCTCACATAAAGAATAGACTGAACACTGTATGTAACTTTTTCAGGACCTACTGAACCAGTAAGAAGCTGAATTTTTTTCTGAATAGAATCTTATGATGTGGTATCGTGGTATCACCGCTACAAGCTAGAGTCACAGCAGCAGTCCATGGACTGGCAACAGGTGGAAAAATTCAATATGCAGTCCTCAGCTGTTAAAGTGATGTGTCTTTTGGGATAGGAAAGGAGTGGTCCTTCTGCATTTCTTGGAACTCAAGCCATCAACTGTGACTGCTACATCACAATATTGACTAAACTGAAGATTCTAATTTCCTGAGTCAGGTCAGAGAAGAGGATAATCTTTCTCTTGTAGCATGATATCATATCCCCATATCAGTTTAAAAACCACAAAGCACATCATCAATCTTGGACAGACATCCCTACCATACAAAGTGTATAGTTCAGATTTGGCACCTTCTGAATTCCGTCTGTTTGGGCTGATGAAAGATGAACTGCGTGGATGATATTTTCCTGGGAAGGACACTGACTTGGCAGCTATGAAACAATGGGTCACCTCTGCTGATACAGATTTGCTGAAATGTAGCTTGAGGACTCTTGTTCTTTACTGGTGAAAATGCATAGCTAGTGGTGGTGGCTATGTTGAAAAATTGTGTTTTGTAACTGAGAATTTGCTCTATCAAATAGTGTTACTGTGCTTTTTGTATCCACAGTTTCCATGGAAATAAATAGGAGATGTTACTTTTGAAGCAATCTATATAATGCAGGCTAGATATCATTCATGTTCAATCCCAACCTACTTTATTCTTAATAAATATGCCTCAGGATACAACTAATGCATAAAAATAAAGTGAACCTCACCATTATGATAGCACTTTATTTCAGCTAAGTGACTGTGCTTGTAATGGTTGGAAACTGTTTCCTAAAATGAGATTTTTATATTTTTAATAAAAACTGTTCCCAGGTCTCTTTAAGCCAGAAAGCATTTTGGACTCATAGCTGTTTCATCTGGTGCTGTTTTGCATATCATTTGGCATGATTCTGTCCTAGCAAAATCCAGGTTTGTAGGTAGAAGAACTGTTATCATTTTGATCTGATGTCAACAATTATAATCATGCAAATAACAGAGTACAGTATTTTCTTCTAGCTAGAATAATAATTGAAATACAACTTCTTAATATAACTCACTGCATTTACACTTCTTCTGAAACCTGATTTTCTTTTTTTTAAAAAAAAAAACAAAACAAAAAACAAAAAACAAACAAAAAAAAATAAAAATCCACACATTTTCTGATGAAACTGATGAAACTTGAAACATTTCCAAGGCTTCACTTCCAAGCAGACGGAGATATGACATTATTTAGCAATCTCCATGGGATTGTGTTAAGTAGTTCATCAAGCAGAGGCTGTATCAGCTTTCTTTTCAAGTATTACTAGGTGAACCTGGCAGGAAAATATTAGGTTTTGAGTTGTGATGCCTTTATTCATGTGTCTAAATACTGATATCTAGAAGTGGGCAGGCACTCAGTTTCCCAGTTTAGTTTCTGGCAAACCAGTCTGTTCAGCTGGTAATGAGTAATGAGAGAAATGAAGAGGAAATAGTCACTTGAATCTCATTTGGATCCATACTAACCATATGAAAAATAACCATGTCAGATGTCAATCGCCTATGTAGGCACAGTTGGTTTAATTTAGTAGCCAACACACAGATCTCCAGAGTAATTGAAGATGTGCTGGGACAACAAATTTGCTCTGTAGATATTGTTAGAGAACAAGTTTTACTTTGACATTACGTCCTATTTGCTGCCAAAGACACAGAATTGTCCACGTGATTCCAAGCTGGTAAATGACCTCTGCTTTTTGGATTGGCAGCTCAAGATGCTATAGATGGCCCTAGGACATTGTGAATGGAAAAAGGCTTGCCATTTATGCTAATCAATTTTTTTTTTTTTTTTTTTTTGTGAATTTGAAGTGTTTAAGTCTCAAATCTATTCCCACTTATGTCCCTCCTGTTTTATGTTCCATTTATTTTTCTTGTTCAGTTTACTTTCAAGATTCCACTTTTTGGCATTTGTTTCTATTACTTTCTGATTCTCTATTACTTTATAAGTTACAGAAAAATGTTTCATATTTTTCTATTTCAAAGTGAAAGGTGGTAGACATTTCCTTAATACAACTATTAGCATGCACCTGTGTATGTGAAAAATCACATTGGTCACTTACTTGTTATGTCCTATTCTGCATTTATCATTCTTACAATGAAATACTTATAACTGTATTAGGTAATGAAGTCATAAATGAAATTAATGTGTCCTCCAGGCCACATACTTTTGTTTTACAGTATTAAGTAGCAAGAGTTAACCTTGAGCTCATACCCTCTAGTGGCACTTCTGTCTTCAGAATAGTTATAATTTTAAGTTGCCATAGTGAAGTGTGAACAACAAAAAAGCACGGAATACTCAGTGGTTTTGTAACAGTGAACTGAAATGTCATCAGTGGCTCAAATTCTATAGTCTCAGAAAACTCTCAGGTACATGGTACACTAAAATAAGGTGATTTTTTTTGTTGCTGTTATTGTTGCTGTTTTTATTGCTGTTGTTGTTATTTGTTTCTTTATGTCCAGTGCCTGTTTTTATAACTGAAAGTCTGTATGCAAAAATATTAAAATATAGGGTTTCTTATTCATTTAAGGTTCCATAATGTTGATGAACTTGTTGTTAATGCTAAAATGGAACTGAAAGTTTTTTCTATTAGCTAATAAGGAAAGCTTGTTAGAGAAGAGTAATTTTTTTTTTTTTTTTTTTTAATAGACTAAGTATAGCTTGGAAAAAAAATCCAAGCTCTTAGGCATACAAGCCCCTCTTCAGGTTTAAAATAGAAACAGCAGCCTTCAAGCTAAATACTGGTTAAGAACAACTGCTCTAGGTTTAATTTCATTATGTTAATCATTTAGACAATTTGAAGAAAAGGCATCTAGCACTGGTGAAGCTGAGAGAGAAGTGGGTGAGATTTCTAGTTACTACAGGAAAGAGAAAGACGGATAATTATTACTTTCAGTAGTGAAGAGGAGGATAAAGTATGAGCAAAACCAGTGTTCTATCAAATTACTATCTTTACTGGGTCCGCACATTTTTGTTCCATGTCAAGCTACAGTTTTTAGTTTACTGGCTTTTCTCCCCATAATATTGTAATATATCATCTTTGATTTAGGATTTTGAGGAAACATAAGTAATTAAAAACTCTGAGAAGGAAAAAGATTCCTTAACTGATGTTGATACTTACAGATCAGTTAGGTTACTCCAGGAAGCTGTCTTTATTGGGTCTATTTCTAATGTTTCCAACTTTGAGTTAAGTGAATATAACAACCAGAGGGTTGGGGTTTTTTTCTGTTTTGTTTTTGTTTTAACAGTCTTCACAGCTTTCTTTAATTTCCATGTACTCTACAAATAAGTACCATGCATTTTTGCCTTAGTGAAATGGTGACAATTAGTCTTGTCATACAAAACTATCTAGCATGGTTTATTTTTTGTTGCAGTGCTGAAAATTACACACACACACAAAAAAAAATAATAATATCATTCACCTGCTTCAAGAGCATTATACCACACCATCAACATTTGATATAGCCTTTTGTTCTCTATTCTGCTTTTGAAAAGGGGAAAATAAATCTTGGAGATATGCTGAATAGTTCTAAACAGTTTGGGTAGCTGCAAATTAG